CTCTCTCTCTCTGTCTCTCTCTCAGGTCTGTTTATTGGAAGTTTACGAAATATTAGGCACTCGCCTTGACGCAAAGGTAAAGTTTTAAGGGTCAACCTGGGTACCAATCAAGCTTACGCAGGATCCATGGGCTTCGGGCTTAAGGTGTAGGGGTAAGGGTTGAGAGTTTAGGGCTTAGGGTTTAGGGGTTTCAGGATAACGTTAAACCCTAGACCTAGACCCTAAGGCCTAAACCATCTATGAGGGTCTATACGAGGCTTTGAAGGGATTAGGCTCCTGAAGGTTCCCTGTGGCTTAGGGCCTGTGGCATGTAGCCCTGTAGAGTTTACACAAGAGGGCCAGGTTAGGGTTTAGGCTTTAGTGGTTTGGGAGTAAATTCAAAGGCTCCGGTTCCCTTTCGACCCAGGTTTAGGGTTGAAGGTTCCCGGAACCCCAATGTCCGTCCGGCGAAATGCCGTGGCTCCCGACGATAGATTCGTGTGGAACAGAACATGGTCGAATCTGTAGCAAATATAAAGCACTTTCGGCGCGTGGAGAAACACAAATTCCCAGGTGGTCGTTTTGAGAAAAACAAGCACCAAGTAAGCACACGTCCCAGCCCTCATAAACCCTAAACCATGGCTCTGCGGGCTGGTTCGGCGACATGAACCGGTGTAAACTACAGCAGTTTCGTCTCTTCATGTTTGAGCAGCTGGAAGTGCCGCTATTTGCGCGTGTGTTGAAAAGTGTGCAAAATACTGTGTTTGCGCTAATTATGTCGGGTGTACCCCATGTGCAAATTTGGTGCTTGTCGCTGTATCGAAATAACTCCCCGTCAAAATACCTAGCACGGTGGGTGTGTTGCGTACTTAATATGGCGAAGCCGTGAAGTCACAGTATTTACAGCCACTGTCTGCTGCCACGCTGCTGGAACTTGGTTGGGAAATGCAGGCACACGCAAATTCACGTAATTATCGCTCGCGGCATGGATTTGCTGGGAACGTGTGCGCACGCGCAAACGCACGTCATTATGGTTGGCGGTTTGGATTCGCTGGGAACATGTCAGCATGCGCAAATACACGTCATTATGGTTAGCGGCATGGATTCGCTGGCAACATGTACGCATTCGCAATTGCATGTCATCACGGTTGCAGCATGGACTCCGTTCGAACATGCACGCACATGCAAATGCACGTCACACACCTTACAGCTGCGGCACTATGGCCGGGCAGGAGGCTAAACCCTAACGAAGCTCATGGCCTTCGGGCTTGCTTGCGAGCTCGGGAGCAAAAATACCCTGGTAATGAAGCCAACTTTTAAAACACACAAAACAAAAAGGATCGGTCGAACCTATCGAGAGTTTTGCGGGCTTTCAGTAGGCTTGAGGGACTGTATGTAGGCTTTATAAACCCTACACCCGAAATTCTAAACCCCAAACCCTGAACTCCAAAACCTAAGCCTTGCACCTTCAGCCCTCATCATGCTTTGGGTGTGGAATGATTCGGGGTAGTTTAGGGTGCGGGGCCCTCTTATAAACCCTAAACCCTGTGTATAAAACCCTACATCCTGAACCCTAAGCCCTAAACCTAAACCCTGATTTCTAAACCCTAAACCCTAGGCCCTAAACCCTAAAACCCGAAATCCTAAACCCTGAAGCCTGAAGCCCAAGCCCAAAAAGTCCCAACACCCTGGAGCCCCCAACGAGGACGAGCTTAGAAAATCAAGACAAGCCAGTCGTACTCAGCCCTGCTTTTGGGTTTGGGGTCTGGGGTTTAGGGTTTAGGGCTTGGGGCTTATAGGGTCTATAGAGCTTGTAAGGCTTAGGGCTTATAGGGTTTATAGAGGTTAGGGTTAGGGGGTTTACGGAGGCGAGAAAGGTGGGTTCTGAGGATTTGGGGATTTAGAAGCCATAACCCTAAACCCTACACCCTTAACCTAAGCTTTTGGAGACAGGGGGCCGCCACATTTCACTCTGCGGCGGGCTTGCTTCTTCCTTGCCGCAGTAGTCGCCTCGTCCAATGCCACCTCTGGGAAACCGAAGTGAGGGGTTTAGGGTTTAGGGTTTCGGGTTTAACATTTTCGTTTCCCCGCCCCCCCGTCCTCTCCCTCCGCACACACGAGAAAGGGGGTTTAGTTTAGAGGGTTTAGGGTTTAAGGTTGAGGATTGCGGGGAACTACAAAGAATTTCGTCGGAAAGCAAGAAAACAAGCAAGACCCTGCTGCGGCGCCCAAGGGTTTAGGAATCCCGTAAACCTAAACCCTAAACCCCTAAACCCCTGAACCCAGCCCTCCCACCTTGAACTTCTCGAGTTCAGTCGGAGACAAGTCACCTATCACCTGTTGGAGGTCCGCAACCGTCGACTCTCCGACCTTCGACGCCAAGGAGGCGCCTGATGTCATTGTCACCAAGGGACCAAGACCCTGAGTAGCCCTATTCACCCTACACCCAAAACCCCGATCAAGCCCTAAACCCTATACACCCTACACCCTAAACCCCCATCCCTGAAAGCTCAGAAAGAGCGAAGCGCCTGAGCCCATGGCAAAAGAAGCAGCAGCCTTGTGGCAAGATGCTGTCGCTGTGATCGGCGGTCTCTGGAGAAACGGCTACGGGACACAGCTGCTTAGGGAGGGAAAAGGAGATGGTGCAAGAGGGAAAGACAGAGAGAGGGACTCAGAGAGAGAGAGAGAGGGAACAACAAAAAAAGACAAAGCTAAAAGCGAGAGGGAGATGGGCACATGCATCTTGAGCTGAGCAGGCACTTATCATTCGATTTGTTGCTCGCTTTGTGGCTGTGTGCCTCAACCTAAACCCTAAACCCCAAACCCCAAACCCTAAACCCTACGTTCAGCCCAGCCACGTGACACAGGTTGGCTTGCGATGTGCCAAGCACCGAGCCTACCTCTGTGGAATTGCGGTGTGCAGTGGCTCGAACTGGACCCAATAAGCCCTAAACTCTAGAACCTAACCCTGAACCCAAAACCCCAAAACCCTAAACCCTTGAGTGTGAAGTCTGTATTCGGCCCAGGATGTGTGATGTGCAGATGCTTACGGCAGGGAGCAGCACGGTGGGGAGACCCTGACATGATACCTGCTTCTTCGCTCTGCAACCATGGGGTTTAGGGTTTGGGGTTTTTGGTTTGGGGTTTATGCTCTCACAACTCGGACATGCCATGATGATACAGCCTTGCCTGCCCTGCAGCCTGCGGTCTCAGAGGTTACAGATCCCGATACCCAGTCTGCAATCGTGCGATCTTTATCTCCTCCTTTGGAGGCGAGATCGTCTGCTTCCTCGGCGAATGCCCTTCTGCCCTCAAGGGGCGAGCTTCATTCGCCTCCGTGTTTTATCGACGAGCGAGTTTTTCCATTGCCTGTGGAGCAGCAATTGCATGAACTCTCTCTCTCTCTCTCTCTCTCACTGATCCGAAACCTCGAACTCTGAGACAGCAAGGCCCTAAAGGCCTACATGCTCCGAGCTCTAATACCAAGATTATTGCGTCTCGGCCAAGGTTCAAAGTGAAGGTGTCAACATGACGGACTCAGGGCTTCGGAGCAAATACCTCCAACAATTTCACTGACCCTAAACCCCTAGACCCTAAACCCTGGGTTGCAAAGGAGTTCCACATCCCATCTGTAGGGGCCGGTCTACGTGTGAAAATCGTAGAGGTACTTGACCTCCTGGGAAGCACCTGTTAATGCTATGAGCTGCTTGCATACATTAGATCGTCGACTCGAAGCGAGAAAGTAGCCTCAGCCTTTTGGAGTTGTATGCCCGTTTCCCTAAAGCCTAAATCCATTATAGGGTCAAGGATTATTTCGTGTAACGTTTGGGGCTGATGAGACTACGGCTTTTCCGGACCCTCGGAGGTGCAAGGACAAAAGCTGGACCGCCTCGCCAGCAGCAATGAAGACGCTCGCTGAATTCCTGAAGCACGGGGCAGGGGTCAAGAGGTTTAAGATCGGGTTGACGATTTAACTATATGCCCGCGCTTTTTTCGGATTCGGGCACTGGGGATTAAGATTCCACTTACCAAGTACCCAAAGGCTTCACAACCAAGCTCTTGGTTTCATAGGAATCGGAATAAGGTTCAAGTTGCGGGATTTTGGGGCGGAGCTCGGGGTTTAGCATTAAGTTTGTTTAGCAAGGCATGTCAAATTCACGGCAGTCCGGCTTTGATTTAAATTTAGGCTGCAGGCTTCCACGGATCACGGACGTGGGTGACGTGGGAGGCAGAACAATAAACCCCTGGGGCCGCACCTTGAAGACGAAGAAGAGCTTGAGCTTGCGGCCATACTCTGCAACGGAAGTGTGTAACGCAGGAATGCTGTGTGTAAGATGAACTGTTGCCTGTATATGTCCAATCTTCAGTTTTTTTCGGCATGAGGGTAGTCCATGGTGAAAGTCTGGCATGCTCTAGCCATTTAGCTCCTGGCAATTTCTTTGCGGGAGATAAAGCCTCCGGGATCTCTTGAGCATCACCGGACCCGCGAGTGCTCCTGCACGTGCCCCGAGCCTTCAACTGCTTGTGAACCTATCCGGGCGGTGATTGCACCGAGTGTGACTGGAGCTTTGCTCACACTTGGGCTGACTGCTCTTGCTTACCAGAAACTCCGATTCATCAAGGGCTCGAATGGCAATACTCTGATGATCATACATGGCATGGCAATTTGATTGAGCTGATTCTAGGGGGAGAGGATGTTGTCTTGTTTACCCCTGATGGCGATTTGCATGTCGAGATGATTGGCTAACACAAAGGGGAAAGGTAAGGATCGAGCCCAGAGTAGCCGTCCGCTCTCAATTCGCACTTCAGAAACATGGAGTTGGAGCTTGACCTGTGGGTGGCAGAGCGGAGACTCCGCAGTCAAGGATGCCAACTTGGCTCCCCTTCTCCTTTCGCAGTTCGCCCAATCCAAGGGACAAGGCAATTTGAAGTGCTATATAAGGTGGAATGAAGAACAGATGGAAGTGCCGTTAGTCAGAGTTTAACTTGTGTATCAACTTGAGTGCCGGTCTGTCGAGTAAACCATATTTCTTGCCACGGGCATGCTCACAGCCAAATTCCAAAAAATCCTGAAACCAGAAACTCCAGAACTTAGAAACATAGCTGATGCGAAGTGTTGTAATTTCGGAATTGCGACATTCAAATACTTTTCGTAGCTTTTTGACATTTTGGAGTTTTGGGGCTCGAAAAGATTTTCGAAAAGCTAAATTGCTTTTGGAATCCAGGAATTCCAAAACTTGGTTTCGAAGGGTTTGGAGTTTCTGGAGCTTGGGAACTGTTCATCCCCAAACTGTCTTCTTTCTGTCGCACACATCCAGGGATCCTTGTCAAACTCTCCAAGTCCAGTTGGCTAAACGTCACAGGGCTGATTGCACATCGTCACCTCCCAGCGGCCACTGGAGATACGAATTCCGAAAGGGTACATGATTGCTATTCTGCAAGCTGTTTTGCCACAGTATCTCATGCCCACAGGACTTCAGATATATAAACATGAAACAACGGACAAGCCTTATGTGAACATCAGGTGCTAACAGATTACAGAAAATATTGATCAATTTTCCTTGGTCTGGTAAACCGAAAATAGCCGCATGATTCAGTCCTGCACATCAAGTAACTCTCTCACGAATATTTCAACATGCACAGGTACAGCTGCTATTTCTCTATGATATTGAAAAACCGACTACACTTGTTCAGAAATATGAACTGCTAAGCAGCTGTTTGCCAATGTTATTAAGTTCAACGAATGAAATATGGCAAAAAGCAGCTCGAGCACAGCAGCATATACGAGTTTTCAAGCAACTTTAAATCACCGAAAGCTCCAAAATTCAACATGCGACAAATCCTTGGATTCGGGACTAGGAAGCAGCAGCGCCGCGGACAGCCCATCCAACCCAGGACTGGGAAGCTTCTGTGGTTTAGGGCCTGTGGGTGTTTTGAGCTTGGAAAGAAAGATGGGGGTGCGACGAAATGACGACTGTGCAGACATCCTTTTTTGATCCTGGCGTCACGTCGCAGAGGTCAGCGCCAAACATTTGAGCATCGCGACCATCACAGTCGTCCTCCGTCACGGGCTAGGGTGTAGGTGTAGGGTTTCGTCAGCTTAGAAGAAAACACACCCGGAAGAACTCCACTAAATCACTAAGAAGCACCGGACGGTATTTTAAATCAAAGGCCTTGGGCATGGATGGGCCGCCAGAACCATGCACATTAAGCAGAACCATACAACAAAAACCTTATTGTTCAGCGCTTGGGCAAGGCCCGACGGAAAAACATTTTGGCATGCTTACAACCGTTCAAACACCAGAAAACCCCATAGCCAAACCCTCCGGTGATGAAGATCAGTATATCCAAAGGCGGGCAAGGTGAGCACACTACTAGAGCCGCAAACTCAAAGAGCCGAATGAAACCACCCCATAGGATTCTCACATACAAAAGGCCGAGTATTTCGGACCGCACAGTGGCTCCAAGGGCGAGTCGGCACGGGATGTGAACCCTTAAGCCCAAGGAAAGCTTGGGCTTGGCGAATCTGTATACTATGAGTATTTCAGGGGCCTAGTAGAGACTACTACTTACTGCCGTAATGGCTAAGGAATCAGCAGCTACAGCTTTCGGAAGAGGAATTCATTAGAAGAGCGCAACAGTTCAAACAATCGGTTTCGGGCCATTAAGACACTGGCTCGGCCTTATGCAACCCCAGAGGCTGAAATGTGGTCCAAGCAGGCTCCTAAAACCTTAAGGGGGCACTTCCAAGGTCAACGGATTAAGCAATAAGTAGGATCAGCAATACTTTAGATCGGGCTAAATTTAAAGACATCAGCTCTTACGTCACCGAACCCTTCTACAGTCTTGCGGAACCCTCATAACCCTACCTATTCCCAAATCCCATGATCCGTAAGCACACCTTAACACACGACATATCATGAGAAAACCAGAGAAAATCGAAAAAACTTGTTTACCAAACAACATAAAGCTTCAAATTAATTGTGAACCCTCTGCACAGCTCGTAGACCCTCATACTACAACCCCTTATGAACCCGCATAGAACCCCCACAGGCTGGACTGAGCCTGAGAAAGGAGGCGAAACTTTCATGGAACGACCGCATCCTGGCAGACTGATAGACATCGGAGGATTTCTCGTGTTTTGGTGGGTCTCATTTTGGCTTCTGGTTGTTAAGCTTGTTTTTTCGATAGGCTTTAGGGCTTGGGGTTCAGGGTCCAGGTTCACGTTAGGGTTTCTATGGGCTCTTATGGGGTCCTTTAGACTTTCGCAACTCGAAATGCGCTTAGCTGATGCCGGGCTGATATTGGAGTTAAGGAGAGAGCATTACCGTTTCGGTTTTGAGCTGCAGGTGTAGGATTTCGGGTTTGCTGTTTTCAGGCCTATACTAGAATCTTAGTAG